GTTGTTGCTTTTTATTTTATTATACTGTTTTTATTCCATTTTTATTGTTAGCCGCCCAGAGTAGACTTGTGTCTAGATGGGCGGGTTATAAATTTAATAAGCAAGCAAGCAAGCAAGCAAGCAAGCCACTTTTATTTTCAGAAGTAATTTCTGCTTCCCTCTCATTCACACGAGGGTAATTTGCTTGTTCTCTGGTCCTAAGTAATTTTGTTCATAGCCACTTTTGGGATACCACGAAATGAAACTGTTTTTTTTAAGTATTGTTCTTTCTACTCTTGTGGATAACATAGTACATTAGTCTCTTATCAGTCCAGGAAACCATTTCCAGAAAGTCATTAAAGTCCATCCCTTAACAGGTTCTGTTACTTTCACAACATATAGGACCTATCTGTCAAATGTCAATGTGTGATGTGGGTGTAGAGCTTTTGGGTTTTGTCATGCCAAATAAAGAAGGCCAACAGGAGCAAAGTATCTTGTATCTTCAAAAACAACAAAGAGTCATTTTATCAGAAAGAAAGAATAGTTGTTGAGTCAGCATGAGGTTTAATGTTGTACCCAGCTTTTGAACTCTTATCAGGACTGTATTTTTATAGGTTTGGGTGCAGAGATCGTATCACTTTCAAGGGGGAAAAGTTTTCCTTTTTACCAATTCTCATCTTCCACAAAAGGCTTCCAAGTTTCCAAAAAGACATACAGTAATCATTGTTGTTTTATCTTTCATATTGTTTTTAATCTCTGTTGCTTCTTTCACAACACTGAGAAAAGATCAACAAAGTAAGTATGCTAAATTAGCTGAATAGGTAACACAGTTTCCTCTGTTAGCATTATGTTAATCTTTGCAGCTACCATTTACTAAGAAACTCTTCTCTGTAATCAATGAGGTTAAAAGGCTCCTTCTATACCTTTTCATGATCAATGTCTCTTTCAAACTGATTGAAGTTTCAAAAAAATTCCATGTACATATGCACTGTTCTCCATCTTTGTTCTTTTGAAAGCCCGTGCATATATAAATGACACCTTGGCAGACAAAGGTGAGGAGAATACTCTGTATATACCACCAGGTTCTGAACCCAAAGTTCATCAGGCAAGCAATATTTATTAATAAGGCAGTTTTTAAAATTTAAATGTAACATAAACATGTCCATGTATAGTTTAATTCATTGTGGTCTAACTGTAAGAGATAAAATAAGCAGGGCAAAATCTTGATGATGTATTTGATGTCTGATCACAAGAAAGGCTTATTAAAAAATCGATTCTCAATGCCATCTGAAAGAGACAGCCTTAATTTAGCATAACATTATCCTTCCCTTCTTTGCACCTGCTTGTCCTCTGAAGAGTAATAGAAAACTGCAACTTATCAAGACATTAAATAGCAAATAATCCTGTTTAGCATATCCACTGTAATTAAGGGAAAATCCAGCCATACAGTACTATTGACTTGTGTGACTATGCTGGACATTTCAGAATTATTCCTATCAGAGCTTCTTCAGATACAGTACCATCTGTATCTCAAAAGAATTACAAATTTATCACTGCAGCATTTCCAGAAGGGAAATGTTAAATGTCTAACAATGCCAGAATGGATCTTATAATATATTACATCCAGTAAGACATGAGTTAATGTTAATTATTAGATATGATATGATTAGATTAGACATTCTTTATTTGATATTTATTAGATATATAATATTTTCCAAATTCCATTTTATCCAAGACAATTTATTTTTACTATGATCTTTTAAAAAAGGGGGGGAACAGCAGTCTTGCTGCCAATTGTCATTTATCTTGGCAAAATAACATAGAAATATTAATTACAGGAATTTCAGGAAAGAGGTGCCTTTCCCTTCATTTACACTTTTGGTTATTTACAATAAAAGAAGATAAGCAAGTAAGTTATACTAAACCCTGTCACTACTCCATTAATTTCAGTTTTAAGATTTATTGAAAATCTGTTGCTTGTAAAGATTTTGTTTTAAGTCATTTTCTCAGACATACTTGTAATATTAAAAGGCTTTTTTATTAACATAAGTAAAATATGCATAATAAATGTTAACGAATTACTCCCATGTTCAGAGCTCTTTCTAATACCTCATTGCTTCTTGGTAATTTCAAGCATAATTACTTATGCCTCTAAAATATAAATATTTATAAGATGACAAATACCCCAAGGCTTTTCCTCTTGTTGTTAATTTTCAGATTGGTCATTAACAGCTGAAATTACCTATTTCTCAAGAACAGATATTACTTAGGCAATATAACCATTAGTTAAGGGATAATCTTCATGACAGAGAACCATGTGGAACAAAAGAATTTTGATAGCAAGTACCAATCTACACTAAAAGCTTTTAAAGAAAATTTGTTCTTAAACTTTAGTAAAACCATGACATTTTCTTTTGTCTTTGAAGAAACAAAAATATCATAGCCCAGTTCACTCAACAGAGCAGACACTCCTAGAGCGAGTCATTGCTTTCACCTTACTTATATGGTAGTATACACTAAAGGTGTTTGGTGTAGCATAGGTAAGGAAAAGTTGGTGGATGGTCCTTTCTCCTGTTTCATTTTAGGATCCAACCTGTTTTTATTTCAATGGACAATTTTTCAGACAGTGATTCTGTATGTATAGTACTACTGCAGCTTTATAAATCAACCTTTCCATTTTTCCCCAAGTCAAATGAACTCCTACTCAGTATTCTTTTACCAGCAGAAAAGACTGATGCAAGTCCTTTTGGACGTATTCCACCGAACACCCTCTTTGGGGAGAGGTGTAAAGTTTTAAAACAATCACTGAGTCCATCTAGTTCTCTTCTAATCTAAGGAACACTGAGGGCCAAGAGTGGAGGCTAAATTTTACTCATTGATTTGCACAAACTAGCCAACATTTAGGTTCACATTTCACATTGTTAAAATATGTAACTTGAACTTTTCATAGGAGACAGGTTTACAGTGAAAGTTTGATGCATGGATTCTCTGCTGGCTGGAATGCCACTACTAGTTTCTTTGTCCAAAAAGTAAGGAGTTTTGCCTTTGAAGCAGAAGTGTTACTCAAACAAAGCTAGAGATATTATAATGGTATAATAAAATAACTACCAAGAAAATGAACATACTTTTGTGCTATGCAGGGGAAAGCTACAATATATATTTTTAAAAATGCCTGTTATTCAGAATACTAGATTAGAATTCAAAAAGAAAACAAGCGATTGCAATTCGGAATAAGTTCATTTATCAGAACACATGGCTTTCACAGAAATGTGATGAAAGCATGTCAGAAGGAAATTTCATCTGCAATTATTTTTTCTGTGAGTAAGCCCCAGGGGAATTCATTACTTTCAGATGGAAAATGAGAATGGATTCCTAATTAGAGCAGAGGTGTCCCTGAGAAACAAAGCTACTAGGAAAGGAGGTCTTTGTTTACATGCATCCAGAGCTGCACTACATAAAAATGGCCAAATGAAAACAAATTGTTTACTTTTGTACACAAAGAGATGTGATCACCAAAAGACAGAAGATGGCCAAATTAGAAGGTAACATATTCTGTTGGAATACACTAAAAACATGAGAACAATAGTTCAGCTGCCTTATGCAAACTGCCTAAAACTACTTTAGAATCTGTACCAGGAAATGCACTGTATTTATACTGCCAGATTTGTATTTTTGAAGGACACCAAGGTGGACACCACTTCTGCACACCAACGATCAATGTGTTTTCTTGTTTAGGCTCATATGTGTTGAAAAGAACACAAACAGAGAGAGAAAAGAGCAGACAAACTATCTGAAAACTTCAGGGAAATTTCTAAACCTGATTAAAAGGTCTGCTCTTTGAAGAAAATAATAAAAGAATTTAACTTTTCCAGGGAGCCTGTTTAAATGGCATCCTGTATTATTTACAAACCAGCACCATCAAGGTTCTACACACAAAAACCTGGACAGGGAAGAATTCTCATAGTTGAAGTTATGTCATCAGTGCATGAAGGAGGTGGAGCTGAGCGCTGGCAATGTAACACTGCACCATCCCATTCTCTCCTCCATTCACTTACATCCATTTGGGGAGGGAATGCCTGAACAATACTACAAGATGTTCCCATAGAAATTATTTAAGTGTGCACAGATATTTAACCAACTGGAGCAGAATCCCAGATCTCGGCAGTGTAATACTAAATACTACTCAAATGAGGCTTACTATCAGAATAGTAACATTTTGTGCTAAAACAATTACACTTATTCCCTACCAAGTAACTATATAAAGTCCTTTGCCTGTATCCAAAGAATAAAAATCTACCTTTAGCCATCTTATTAAGATCTAGCTTACAAGAAGGAATAAAAACAATAATTAAGCAAAATAACTTTTTATTCCTGAATTCTCAGTTGTTAAAAGGCCAGCTTGCATACTACTTTTGGATATATCATTTCTTACTCTAAGACAAGTTTGATGCCACAATGATTATTCAGGAAGCAGTACCCTACCTTCACATTCTCTGGATGAAGTCCTCCAGGATGTTTGTCCATGTACTGACATAAATCAGTATGCTTGAAAAAGAGAAGAAAGGTGGGGGAATGCATTACTACTGTTGCCATATGACTGTAAATTTTTTCTTTTACTTGAATGTCCCGCTTACCTCTGTATAAAGCTAATGAAAAATGAGGAAAACAAATACTTCCTGCATTTTCTATTGACATCAGACTACATTTCATTTAGGTAAAGGTTCCCCTTGACAATTTTTGTCCAGTCGTGTTCGACTCTAGGAGGTGGTGCTCATCCCCGTTTCCAAGCCATAGACAATCTTCCGTGGTCACATGGCCAGTGCGACTTAGACACGGAACGCTGTTACCTTCCCACCGAGGTGGTCCCTATTTATCTACTGGCATTTGCATGGTTTCGAACCGCTAGGTTGGCGGAAGCTGGGACAAAGCGACGGGCGCTCACTCCGTCGCGTGGATTCGATCTTACGACTGCTGGTCTTCTGGCCCTGCAGCACAGGCTTCTGCGGTTTAGCCCACAGCGCCACCACGTCCCTTCTTTCATTTACATTTCATTTACTTATCTAAAAAGACTGTTTATTAAAAAAAATCAACCACTTTTATACATTAACCAAAAATCATTACCATCAACATCAAGGAAAAATTAAAAAGCCCACACACTATTCACAGACTGTGACTAAATGAGAAAGAAATGTTTGGATGACATCAAAGATGCAGTTTAAAATTTCAAAGCTGCTCAGTGTAGAACTATGAGAGATCACAGAACTGAAGCAGGAGTTAGTCCAGTGGTTCTTAACCTTGGGTTACTCAGGAGTTTTGGACTGCAACTCCCAGAAGCCTTCACCACCAACTGTGCTGGCTGAGGTTTCTGGGAGTTGCAGTTCAAAAACATCCGAGTAACAAAGGTTAAGAACCACTGAGTTAGTCCACAAAACTGTTTGGCATTTAAGGATACAAATAATTCTTGAGATATTTAATGGTGTAAAATAATATTTTCTTCTAAAATCAAAGACAACACACTAATTTCATACCAACGAACTGCATGATCTTCTCACTACGTTAAGTTGTCATGTATTCCCTTTTCTCCATCTGCTGAAAATTCATTTGTACTAAAAAATGTTAGAACGTGGCAATCTCTATAGGTAAAACTTGCCTCATCATCATCTTCATTTTCCCAATTTCTATGTGTAAAACATTATTTTCATGAGATTGCTTAGATTATCCTCATTTGCTTAAAATAAAATAAATTTATCTTCATTGCCTCTGAAACATTTTTCACTAAAATAACATTTTGCAATAGTTGTGTTACAGCACTTAAAAAACACTTGAGAAAAAAAGTAGACTTAAATGTTTTCTAGTTTTTCTAATCTAGTAATATTTTTATCTAGCCCACTCTAGTTATTTACTCTGAACTGGCATCAGTCTTACCAACCACTCACATATGTGTTCAAATAAACACAGAACAGCACTAAAATATAACGCCATATTAGGGCAGAAACAGTATTTGTTTTTTGTTTTAAATATTAGTTACACTGTGTACAGGTGAATTGTCTCTTTCCAGTACCATATGAATAATTCTCACTGACTCATGGGACAGAATATAGCAAGATGTACACCCCAAAAATCATATGCCATCCGTACATTTAAAGTTAATTCTAACTCTGCAAGTAGCTTATACTGCAGCAGCAATGTTTGCTATTAGACCTCATCAGCCCAAAAGCACTCTCTATGTACTGCAAGTCACTACCTTATTGACAATCTTTTTTCCATTTAGAATTTTGTCATCTATTTCCACTGTGAAAACAACATTGCAAGTGAAAAACTAAAATGTTGTACAAAGATATGTAACTGAAAGTTTTCTAAAGGTACTGCAGCAAAGCGAGCCTGCTCCGACAGAGCAGGAAACAGAGGGAAAGGCTACATTTTCCTATCATAGGGAATAAGGTATGAACTACCTAGCTGCAGATAAGGTCTCACTCACATCTATTGAACAGAAATGACTGCTCTTCCTCCATTACCTTTGTCTTGCCTTGTATTATTTGCCGACAAATTCTAACATTTGTACGGTGTCTTCAGGCAAATCATTAATAATCATAATGTACTGTCATGTTGATTCCAAACCATAGTGTCCCTTTTCCTGGCTTTTTGAGGACCACAGTACTCAGAAGTGGGTTACTACTCCATTTTGTATGGGCTGGTCTGGGACTGTGCAACCTGCCACAGTCCACACAGGTTGGGTGGGGAATCAAACTGTTGATCACTGCCAGGTACTCCATCTCACTGACCTACTGGCTGAAACATTTTAGCTATAATAATATGTATGTCTTACTCTGTTCAGATGTAGCAGTGCGGGATTACAATACTGTATGCACAATGTCTCGAAATGGTCTTCTCATTCTCTAGTGCTTACCTCTTTAGCCATTTTAGCTAAAGGCCTATTATTTTTTATGATCTTGCTAGTGAGCCCCAAAATGACCATTGCTAGGTTACTGTCCCTGCTTGGTAGAACTGCCTAGAATGCCTCTAGTGAACTACAGTCAAGGAGCCCAGTCTGAAACCTTTCCCAGGGAAAAGAGTGGCAGGGAGCATGCTATTCTGCAATACACGGTAGCACTTCGGATTGAGGGGTAAGTATCAGTAGCAGGATTTGGGGCCTCTGAAAAAAAACTCATGGGGTACTTTAGTCAAGGAGCCCAGTCTGAAACCTTTCCCGGGGAAAAGAGTGGTAGGGAGCATGCTATTCTGCAATACACGCTTCATTGTTCTCTCTGCATATGCTGCATGTGGATTTTTAGTGTAATCTAAAGGATATTTCTCAACTTTGGCATGGTAAAACACATGCGGAAACCCTGAAATGATCATTACATGGACTTAATGTAGCTTATTTTGGCTCTGTTCTGTCCCAACATCTTCAGATTATGAGACCAGACCATCACACTTCCACCTGCCAGAACTGATGTCCAGCCTTTGTTCCATAAAGAGCCACATACATATAGCTCTCCATGTGCACGCACACAAACATATATATTGATTATAATTACTCTGAACTTCAGGGACAAATCTCAGAAAATGAGCTTACAGCTATCTGCTCCTTACCCACTATTAATTAGTGACTAATATTTTCAATGAAATATACTCTACTCCTGCTCTCTTCCTTGGCTATGATAAATCTACATGTGACTTAGCTGTCCCATGGTTCTACCTAATTGGTTTCAGCTGTCATTTCTAAAACTGAAATGCATGGACAGCCTGGGGCCTGTGAATGAACAGGAAGCATTTCCAACTGCATTCCCATCATGTCAAACCAGCAGTGTGAAAGAGTTCTTCCATTAAAACAAAAACTGTACTATTTGGCTTCTGGCAATGACATCATTCAGCAGACAGATTGTATTGTTTCACTGAGGCAGCAAGACTGTTGCAAGCCATTCTTTTCTGCTAAAGAGATTGCACACATTAGTTATGCTCTGGAGGTTCTACTGACTAGAATAGTTTCCCCATTGTCACTAAGAAATTTTTAAGCAGACAAAACAATGCAAAGTGCAATAATAAAGCTGTAGTTGAAGAAAGATTTTTTTTTGCAACAATTACACATAAACAGACTCCATAGGAAAACTATTTGAAGTAGAAAGTAATACATTGTAATGAGCTAGATGGCATTTTCATAATGATTTGGATGGGCCCCCATTTTTGAAACAAATTAGCATGTAAAGCAGTAAGCTAAAATTAATGGTCAAACAAAATCAAAGAACCCCATTGCATTATGTCAAATCAAAATGAAACATGCTCAATTTTCCCCCCAGCGTATATGATGAATTCTCAATCAACCATTTAATTTTCCTATAAAATTAAAATGACTGTCAAAATTTGGACTTTCCTGACAAGGCCAAATATTTGGATTCTACTTAAAGACTTGTATCATTGTATTTATTTAAAAATCCCTACACCGGCCGTCTTTAAAAATTCTAAGTGGCTTACAAAATTACTGAAATGATAAAAACAAGCCATTATTAAAAATATTAACACATAATGAAGGCTACTTAAAACAAACTTAAACATAAGGAGATGAAAGCATCAAACCACATTGCAAGTGTAGTAAAATAAAAGAATTTCCAATATCACACATGACACTTAAAGGAGAAGGAGCCAAAAGCAAGTTCTACAAAGATAGTTCCATAATCTGGAAGGTACAACAGAAAATATGCTATGATTTCTGCACTCAGAAATAAAATAAAAATCAGTGCAGGTAGAACTCAACTAGAATAATATGATCAGTAAAGACCAATGTGGCTGTGATATTTTGCACATGCTGAACTTCTGAAATGCATTCTGTATACAGTACAGTGACTGTATGGTTGTCAGACCTACTTGTTCCAGAGAAGCATTTACACAGCCGTTGCAGGTAAAAATGCCCAAAAGTCATTCTGACTTTGGGTGTGGCAGTTCTAAACATTGATGTTATGTTGTATGCAAACCGGTGTCCAATATTTTTTTTAACCAAATAAGGTCTTCTCTTCCCCCCACCCCACTTTCTTTTTTCCAATTCCTCTACTTTGAACAACCAGCTGTTAACAATGTATGGTCAGAATTCTGCTGGCAATTTATGCTGGCATAAAGTGTAATTGCATCAGTTGCAGCAGCAAATTACAGCTAACTACAGCTTGCATTCCTGATCATGTGCCATGTCACATGGTTGGCATGCAGCTAGGAATACAAATGGCAACTTATTAGCACCAATTTGCCCCCATGATTTATGCAATTACAGGATTCTGGCCTACATTTTAAAAATTTCTCATTATAAAACCAAATTTAAAAAGCTTTCTGATATGTGCATTTCATGTCATTATTCTCTTAGTATGTCTTTATAGTTCATCTTTTTGGTCCAAGAGATTCTTAGCACCCTACGATAAACCCACATGTAAAATGCAGGGCATGGCATCTCTCTCAAAGCAAATAGAAGCAAAAGAGTTCTTTCCTGTTTCCAAATGCTCCACTGAACAGCATGTCCCCTGAGCCTTCTTTATATGTAGTAAATTCTGCAATGTTCTGTT